CCCAAAACCCCAAAACCCCAAAACCCCAAAACCCCAAAACCCCAAAATAAATCAATATAGTTGAAATTTATTGTCCTTATCTTTTTGGTTGGCAAATATGATTTAGCTTCGCTGCATGAGCATACTTATGAATCTGAGTTCTACACTCATGACCATACCAGCAATCTGCCCTTGCTTGCACATTATTTGGCAAAATAGCAGTAATGCTATTTCTATACCAATAAATAGCCTGCTGCCATATGTTTGGAAATCATGTCCTTCATATGGAAGAGTTCTTTCTTAAGGTTTGCTTAACTCCTAAAGCGTCTGTGATATCCCAATTTTGGTCAGCTTCCATCCTTGTAAAGATGTCATTCTTAAACTGAATATTGGTGAATCTATTGCCTCTGACAAAATCTTTAAGAACAGTCTGCTCATATGAGTTCTTACTCAATGCATCCTGAGGAATTCCTACGAATGGGAAGGTCTCTAGGGAGGATACCTTATTAGTAGTCTGTCTCCTACAAGGCCAATGTTGATGGCAGAAATAGTTCTTACAACATATACACTGAGGCTGAATGCCTGGCTTTCCAGTTAATGGGAATGCTACTTTACATGCTGTGCATACCACATGTCTTGTATTTTCATCACATTGAAACCCATTGATACTCTTTTCACAATTTTTACATTTGGGTCTGAAAGCTCTGGCTCTTCCCTTAGATTCTTCCTTTTTCTCCTCCTCTTTTTTATTTTCTTCTTTACTTTCTTCTTTGTTCTCTTCCTTACTTTTCTTAAGGGATTTGTTAGGAGTTTTCTTCCTCTTCTTCTTTTCTTCAGCAATCTTTTTGTCATGCTCCTTCTTGAGTTTCTTAGCAGCAGTAATGGTTACCACTGCGTTAGTGAAGCAATCACTGTCATCCTGAACTAGCTTTGTGTCATCATTCTTTGTTTGATCAGGATTTTCCTTTAAGTGAGCATCAATCATAGAATTTATTAGATGGTTCCTCTTAATGGATTTTACTTTGTCCCTGCATTCAGGACAGTTCCCATTTTTAACCATCCAGTCTGCATAACATCCTCCACAAAAATTGTGGAGGCATGGGATGAGACAGACAGGCTTATACATAATCTCAAGACAAAAGGAGCATTTCATCTGCTGCACAGCAGCAGAATTGTTCTTCTTCTTGGCTTTCTTATTAGTATTACTTTCTTTTTCCTCTTCTGATCCTTCCATTTGATTTCTCTTTCTCTTCTTGCCGACTTTGCTGCTAGGTTTCTCATAAGTTGCTACAAAAATGAAGCCGATTTTCTCATCTTCGTTCTCATCATTTAGTAAATAAACCTTATCGCCGTTATGAAGGGTGGAAGGCTCGTCTTTCCCAATACGTTTGTCATTTACAAAGGTGCCATTGGTGGACTTATCAATGATGGTAAACACTCCTGTCTCTTTATCAAGTTGAACTTGGCAGTGGACTCCACTATTAGAAATCGTAAGATTTACTGAAAAATAAAAGTATGCTCATTAAGTAAATCTTCTGATTTAGGCTTACCTGATCTTGGTATTTGCGATTCTGTGCCCACACACTTTCTTCCTACCGATAGTGACATCAATATCTGTGATACTGAAGTCCTTTGCAGTATCGTCATGTAGAGAGGTAAACTTTGCTAAAGCTTTTGACATTTATAATTAATAATATTCTTCTGAGTTTCTTTTAATATGTTAAAGAAATAGAATTTATCAGAAGTCTTCAATTCCTTTCCTTAATTATGGGGTTTTGGGGTTTTGGGGTTTTGGGGTTTTGGGG